ACTTAGATTTATTTGCCCCATCCCCCCGCCCCCGCGTGAGAGTTGTATGGATTTTTTGCAAATTTTACGGATTTTTTTAGGCTTTTTATACAGGTAAACGTCCGAAGAGGTTGACATGTATGGGACAACAAAATACAGACTTGTTGTTATTGAGTTTGTCAACACGAACCACTACCTGAGAGGCACTACTAGCCCCTCCCCCGTCAGAATGTCGGAGCAGGATGAGTTTCAGTTGAAATTCAGCCTCAGTGCTTATAAGGCTGAGTTTCAACTGAAACTCATCAGACTGAGGAAATCTCTTGGAGGAGAGACGAAACATTTCACTAAAGAAGAACCCATCCAGAGGACCTATTTATTTTTTCTTTTTGGGAGAGTAGTTTATTTTTCCTGTAATACTTCATTATAGTTTTTAAGACAACGCTAAATAAAAGGGGCACTGAGCAGAGTTACAACCAGGGATTACAAATAATTACTTTTTTTTCTTCTCCAGTTCGGCGCCCCCTCCAGCAGATGGCGCTCTAGGCGACCGCCTAGTTCGCCCATGCCAAGAGCCGGCTTTGGTCTTGGGTCAAACATTTTGATTTATCTTAGCTTCTCTTGATGTTTAGCTGGATTTTTTTGTATTGTCCTCAGTCAGGTTTGTGCTTTTTTAGCTCTGCATAAAATTTCTTTTTATGGGACTGAGATTGAGGCTAAACCCCTTAAATACAGTTTTGCAAACACTGTATCAACATGTTCCTAACAGGTTGTAAAATACTGCATGGCAGAAATTAAGAGGTAAAAGTAACCAGTAAGACTGTGTCTGTCAGCACTTGATATACACAGGTCAGATATTCTGAGTCTTGATGTTTGGGTTTGTCAGAATTCAGGTTTCAGGTGGTGTAGAGCTGATTTCAAAAGGCCCCTTTAAAAACCTGCGATGGTTTGTAGGGTCCAACACTTTAACCATGTTGCACAAACTGTTTTGTGATGGAGTTTTATTTTTATTTTTTATATTTTCTATTCTAGCTGTTAGAGTGTGAAATTACACTGTTTGGTTTTTTTTAAAAAAGACCCCCCACCCCAACCCCTTTGTATAGCAGTCTATTAGAGTTGGCTTGAAACTGTTTGCTGTTGAAACACACGTCTAACTTTAATGGTGGTGTGCCGCAGCACCTGGGAGAACTGGTGATGAGTTTCCTGAACAGAGAGCTGCAGCCTCCATGCCTGCTGACCTGTCTGGAGACCGTTCGAATCTTGTCCAGAGACAAACACGGCGTGGATCCTTTCATTTCCTGTTCAGCCATGTCCACGCTAGCTGGCTACGCTGGCATTGCCACAGTCTGTCCTGCCACACTGGTCCAAGGCCAGCCAGCAGAGGGCCACGGTAATATAAACCGTCAGCACTCCATTCTCACCACCTTGTTACAGACTAATGCTTGTCTTTATTTAAAGTCCTGTTTAAACTCAGAGGGAATCTTAAAAAGTGTACTAAGGCATCAGTTCTGCTGCTGTTTGTAGCTCTCATTCAAAGGAGCACCAGGTTTGATTTATCAATAAATAATATTTACACCGCTCGACTTATTTACCTTATTGTTCGTCAGATCTCGTCAGCTGAATCCATTCATTAAAGGGAACTGTCAATCAAAATACATTACCAATAAAGAGATGGAATTTACCTTTTAGGAATTTATTGAAAAAGTAAAATAAATAAATCAAACAATTAGCACAACCAGCAATTTGAATTGCTCTTTAAATGTTGGGGGGTGGGGCATGGCCGCACGTTGGCTCAGTTGGTAGATCTGCTGCCTCTTAGCAAGAAGGGTGCCGGATCAAATCCCGGCCCGGGACCTTTCTGGGCAGAGATTACATTTTCTCTCTGTGTATACCAAAACCAAAAACATGACCGTTAGGTTAATTGTTAACTCTAATCTGTCTCTGGTGTGAGTGAGAGAGTGAATGGTTGTTTGTCTCTAGGTGTCCCTGTGATGGACTGGAGACCTGTCCAGGGTGTCCCCCGCCCCTCACACTGTGACTACTGGATATGGGAACCAGTGACCCTGAAAGGAATAAGGGGGTAAAAGATAGACGGATGGTTTAAAATTTCGGTATAATATTAAGAATTTTAAAATTAAATAATTTCTTTTAATTATTTCACAGCAGTAGACAGGTGCAATAATGATGTGCAGTTCTTTCTTTATTCCCCTTACCGCTCTTTGTTGCTGCTAAAAATGTAATTTCCATGAGGGAACCTCCCAAAAAGATCAATAAAATCGCACGGCATCGTATCTTATCGTATCGTATTATTTGAACCAAATTTAAATAGTTATAGTCATTTAACAACGTTCTAATAAAAGTATGGCTTGTTTTACGCTCTGTGTTTAGGATTTATGTGCAAAATTCTTAAACTGTTTTGACAAAGATTACATTTTGGAATTTAGTTTGGGAGAATATTGATAATTCTGCTAGATTGTCAGATTAATAAGGAATAGGGTTGGGCATAATCGTATCGTGTGCGATTAATCGTCAGAAAAACATTAATTGATTATTTTTTGGCACTTGATGATTAATATGATTAATGCCACCAGTCCGCTCAATGCTCCTCTCTGCTTCCAATACGACAAACATTTTTTTAAAAAGTTCTGTTATTTATTTAACATAACTCCAGTTTGTCTTGGTCTATCAACACAATTTTAAATTTGATGTAAAGCCTGAAGTCTGTAAATCTGACACGATTTGGAACAGATTTTTACGAAGAGCAAATCTTTCCCACAAAATTGGCCATGTGACTAGGACATAAGTGTGTCCAGGGACTCCAGGGCATTAATCGCCAAATTAATCGTTATTGGCTAAATACCACAATTAATCGTGATTAAATTTTTTGCCAATATTGCCCAACCCTAATAAGGAAGCATCATTTTTTAAATCAACATTTTGTTGATCAGTTTTCATCAGCCTAAAACGTCAGAACCAGACAAATCTGATCACCAGATAAGGAGAAGGAGCCTTACTTTGGTGCAGCTGCATCTGGGTAGGTCTTTCCTGGAGGCGGCGTTGTGCAGATGCACTCCTGATCTGGCTCCTGGGTACTGCTTGTTTGTGTTGATTCTAATTTTGTTGCTGACTCTATTTGATTTGCTTCATTGTCGTAATAAAAGTTTAAAAGACAAATCTATTGTCATTGGGTATGTTTTATGGTTAGGAATTCCCTGTAATTAAACGAATGGCACTTCAGTCCTGAGTTCTGGTGATGTAAGGGGGAGTAAATGAGTCAACCAGTTTTTGATGAAACTGGTGCCCTTTATTTAGATGAGAGCTATAAATGTAGTAAAACACGACGGATACGTATCACATCTACATCTACAATGATGATACATACAGTACATTTATACAATAATGTAAACCATTCTGGAATCATTAAAACCAGGATGTATTAAATTGCTCTCTGCTGTTTTTAGTGGATGATGAGGAAGAGGCAGCAGAAGGGTCCAGTACCATGAAGGAATCCTGCTGTGCCTCTGAGAACCCTGATCAGGAAGTGATTGTTGAGGCTCTGAAGTCCATCTGTAACATCCTGCTCCACAATGAAACCGGACAGGTCAGTCTGTTGGGTCAACAACTCCACATCTGGAGCTGTGATTGGTTCTTCTATGTAAACCTTGTCTAACATGTGTGGGGGGTGGATGGCAGGTGGTGGCAGCTGAGCTCCAGCTTATTAAAGGTTTGGCCAAGAGACTGAAGCAAAGCCACAATCCAACCTGGACCCATGAGGTACTGGCATCAATTAAACATGCTTTTTATGTTTCTGTTAAATTTGTTTATTTAGAGAGCACAATGTAAAAAAGAAAGAAAGTTTAAAGTAATTTTTAATGCTTGTGGTTTGTCTGTTTAGGTCCGTTTTTTTGATTTGCGTCTCACCTTCCTGCTGACTGCTCTGAGAGTGGATGTCAGGGCTCAGTTGGCCCAGGAGCTCCATGGCATCAGACTCCTAGGTAACTTCCTCTCTGTGAGCAGGCAGCATCTCACTTAGACTGCAAGGAAACAGATGCATTTTCTGTGCAGCGTCAATGAATTTGGTGTGTTTCCAGCAAAGCCACAGTAAAATGACACAAATCTTATCAATTTTTCTTGTTCCCTTGAGGCAACAGTTCAAAACACTAACCCTCTGTGCTGCCCCAGTTAATGCTGGGGTGTGCAGGTGGCTTTGAATTGGTCTCTAGAGTCATTATTGGATTCTTAATGAAGAAGCAGTCCAGTATTCATGTGTGTGGCATTATGTCAAAGGCTTTTATTTAGTCGTCGAGGTGGTTCACAGGTTTGTGGCTGTGGTCTAACAGTTTTTGAGCTACTGGTTCTTCCAACCAGTAGGACCCATGTGCCTCTTCATCCTGCCTGCTATGATGCCTGACAGGGTCTTCCATGTTGTACAGGGGCAGGTTATTGGCTGGTAGTTGGATGGGAGCCTTGGGTCAACCACTCTGGGCTGGTCCGTTTTATTATCAGCTTGTTCTTTTGTGCTGCTAGGTGTCCATGGAGAGCAGTCAGTTTGTTTAGCCTGTAGGTGTGGGTCATATCAGGCCCAGGTGCAGTCCAGCTCTTCACACTCAAGACCCTGTCAAGGATAGTGGCATCCAGATTCCAGTTTTTATCAAACTGAGTACAAGTACTTCAGTTTAGGTACTCGCAGATACCAAGTACCAGTACTGAATACTTTCTGAGTTAGAACCTAAACATTACACAATGACTTTAAAAACTTTTATTGTATTTGGAACAAAGTGGATTTCCTTCCTTATAGGCCTACTGCCCCTCTGACTGGATCAAATCAAATATACAGCATGATACATGTGACCCATCACATTGAACCGAGGATTAACTAGGATTACTAAGTGATAGAGTATGTGGAGAAATAGGCATTTTATACAAGTTCAACTTGTATAAATTTCCTAAATATTGAACTGACAAGCTTTTAACTTGAAATGTAAACTGTAACACATTCATTGGAGTATTGATACCATTGTGCCAGTATCAATACTGGTATTGGTTTTGGTTTCGAGTATCAGGGCATTTTGTACAAGTACATATAAAAATACTGGTATCAGGCCAGATACTGATGACTCTGTCGGTAGTGGGGCACCAATATTCTTAGATATCTGCCACTGTGATAGGTACTGGTTCTTGTTCTGGGATAGATGAGTCCAGATCCTAAATCTTGTAGCCATGGAGTATTATCATTGTGTGATGCTTTCTTCTGTTTGTCGACCACCAGTCCTTGGAGGATTCTCACACTGACTGCAGGACCTCTAGTCCATACTGGGCACAAATTTAATGTACTTGCACATTATTGCATTATTGATGTTCCATGTTTGCTTTGCCTGCCTGCTGTTATGACTGTCTCAGGGATATTTTTGCACGGCCTGCAACTTGGGTCGTGTCTGTTGTAATAGACCTCAGCCTCTTTTGCTCTTGTGCTGCCGTGATTAGTTCCTCTGTGCTGTTCTTCAGTCCAGCCCTCTATAGCCACTGGTAGGATTTGTTATCAGTCACTTCCTCAGCCTTGTAGTGGTCCGTGCACATGAAGGTGGCTGCCAAGGTGGAGTCAAAGTTAGCCGACATGAATATGATTTGAGTGGAGATGGCTATGCAATAGCATGAGCAGCCTATAATACAGTTTTACAAACCGTGCACATAAAAAAAGACTGGGATTTTTGTTTTAAATGGGCTGTGCAAAACACATTCAATTGACTTGTTGGTCACTTATTTGTAAACATTCAGAATTCAACAGATAATGTGTGTATTTTCCTACATATGTTTTACAGTTTTGAGTCTTCATTTATTTTCCAGCAGTTGCAGTCAGTCAGATACTAGCTTCAGTGGAAACTATGTTATTGTCAAAATTCTTTGAAGGACCAGGAGTATCAAAGGCAAACCTCTGTACCCTGAAGAAATCTACTAAATGTCACAAAAAATACATAACTATAAATGTATTTCAATTGTATTATTTTTAAAAAGAAGATACACAATTTCAAAATCAAAAAGAAAAAAATATATATTTTTCTGTGTCTGTTTTAGGCAACCAGTTGGATGCTGCACTGGGTCTGAGCTGGCCTGATAGACTGGAGACAGCGAGGGCAGGATTTGAAGGCATTCCACCTGATCAACTTCCCCCTTTAAGCAGACAGCAGACAGAGTTGGCTATGGAAATACTGAAAATACTTTTTAACATCACATTTGACACAAACAGGCGCAAAGTTGATGAGGTAAGGAAGAAAATGACACTGTTCTGTGTAAATAAGACAATATTTAGAAAAACAAATCAGGAGGTTGCTGCTATGGAATCCATTTTTTGTTTTCTTAATTATATTCCATCTAGGGTTTAGGGTTAGGCAGTAGAAATGACCAGTAAAGTCAATAAAAAGTCCCCATAAGAATAGAAGAACAAACATGTGTATGTGTGTTTGTGTATGAAGGAAGAAGCAGCAGAGTACAGACATTTGGGAGCCATCCTGAGACACTGTTTGATGAGCCAATCAGACGGAGAGGAGCGAACCGAGGAGTTTCACAGGTCAGAAAATCATCTCTGTTCATTCATCAGTTCATTCATTCACCCTTCATTAAAGGGAGTGAGATACTAGCTGCGTTTCCATTGACCATGAAAATGCGCAAACTAGAATTTCGAAAATAAATTTGCTAAATGGAAACACGTCAATTTAAAAAAAAATTACGTTTTTCGACAAAATGTTTTTGCGCTAGGATGAGGTGGTTTTTCAGCCGTATCGAAATTGGTGTTTTTCGCAAAACTGCAATGGAAACACTTTTTTCACATCACGGGAGTCCCGTGATCAACAACCGGCTGTTTCTACTGGCGAAAAAGATGACAACAAAGAAGAAGATAACAGGAAGTAAGTAGTAGTAATATCACAGAAGTAGTAAAAGATAGTAGTAAACTTACCGACTACAAGTCCCCAAAAACACAGCATACGTAGCCGCTCCCAAGTAGGGACTTGTCTCTGGAAAGCCTCGATAAAAGACGCCGACGTCTCCTCTGATGATGAGCGCTAGTGTCGCGGTAGCAACATGCTATGTGTTTACATCCATTGCCGCCATGTTTGTAATGATTTATCGCGAGAACAAACGTATTCGCGCGTGACTTTAATAGCATTTCTTACTTAATGGAAATACCGCAGTTGCGAAACTATGTTTTTCGACATTAACAGAATATCAACAAAGTTTTTCGCACATTTGCAATGGAAACACAGCTACTGTCTTTGTTGGATTAAGTAATGGATGAAGGCAGTATATCACTGGGTTGCGACTGATGCTGACTGGGAGTTCAGGAGGGAGTCCTGTGTCATGATGTTTAGAATGTTAGAGCAACATTTCTTTCCCTCTAAATTAGTGGTTCCCAAAGTTGGGGTCGGGACCCAAAGTAGGGTCCTGAAACATCAAGGTGGGGTCCTGAAAAGATTTTCTAAATTAATTACATTTTTGCCTTAGCTGTTACCTAAAATGTATAAATGTAGAATAATAAATTTTATTACTGTGCCCATGTTTAGTTGACCTGATACAAATGTTTATCATCCAAAAATAGTTGTGGGCACAGGTCTCTGCTACTGTGATTTTGTGGGTCAAAAGCTGAAAAGTTTGGGAACCACTGCACTTCAGAAATCAATTTAAAGGGTAATAAAATAATTGCTGGTGTAATATTTTCCCTATAATTATTACAAAAACACAAAATAAGTAATAAATAAGTATTTATATTTGTGTAGCCTTTGCTTTTAGGATTATTAACAAAGTTTGTGTACTCAGACCAGTAATATTTGGGGTCACAAGTTTTTGCAATGAATATTTTGTGGGTCAGAAGATAAAATGTTTGGGAACCAAATGATCTCAGAGTTTTTGCAGCTGTCTTGAACATGCATGGAGCTCTCCTCTCACGTATAGCATGTCCAGGACTATAATATCTTTATTACCCCAATAGATGAAATTATAAATTTGGGAGCTGCTGCTGAGGTGGGTTGAGAAGGACCCATGGTTGGCTTGATGTAGGTGGGCAACAAAATAATGCTCACGACCTAGAAGAGAGTCATGTCCTAGAAATTTGAAGCATTTTTCAAAAACTGGGGATCCAGAATGTGGCCTCACCGCTGGCTGGTCTCTTGGTCACAAACACTCAGAATTCAGAGACTGATTGAAAATAAATGTCCATATTCTCTGACAACAATGAGGTGACAGTTGTTGCAGCCCAGTGATACTGTATGAGATCATTACTGCACTGTGAGAACGTTTCCTTCTCATCTTCCTCCTTGCTTCCTCAGCCACACTGTGAATTTGCTGGGTAACCTTCCTCTGCCCTGTCTGGATGTTCTGCTGATGCCCAAAGTGCAACAAGGCTCCATTGAGTATATGGGGGTCAACATGGATGCTGTCAACATGCTGCTGGATTTCACAGAGAAAAGGCTGGAGCGGGTAAGAAACGATACCGTCTTTATGTGGATTCATAAAGTTTAGGTGTTATTGTCTTCGCTGTAACCCAGTATTTATCTGGGCAGCCAATGATGGCAATTTGGAAAACAGCTGTGGGTTTTCAAAATGTCTCACAACATTTACTGGGGTTCTCTGTTTACGTGAAGGACCAGCAAAGATTTAGTCTCGTGTTGCAAGACTTTTAGCAAGTTAGAAAAATTTACGAGACAATTTTTTTTTATGAATAGTTGCAGAGTCGTCATTAGCCTGGTGCCAGACACTTATTCTTTGCTTTGCTTCATACGAGGGTCTGGACTCTCTGCTATAGAGAAGTGATTCTTGCTGGAGGCGTGGCCTCTGCTGAAGTTTATTATTATTGGATCGGTTGGCCGCGACGTATGTCGCTGTGAAGGAGGCTAAGCTAAGAAGCTAACCGGAAATCGCGTGCTCTGTAAACAACCCTATGAGTGGAGAGAAGAACCGAGCCGAACGAGACGACCATAAATGAGAGCTGCTGCTTTGTCAGACAAATTTAATTTAATTTGAATCCTTATCAACACAGACTGGCTTCATTCACTTCCTCCCATGCTGTATGCTAAACTAACTAGCAGACACTGTGGAGAAAATCAACATCATTCAAAACTCCTCCTTCTGTTCTCTGATTGGACCAGGTAAAATTCTCCCGAAGAAATCCTTGTCTATGGGATAAATCCCAGACGGAGCAGTGAAGGGAAACTAGAATTGAGCAGAACTGTGTAGGAAGGCAAGGGCCAGGCTAGGTCATCATAGGTATTTCAAAATATCTTTTCTACTTTAGTTTGTGTGTGCCAAATAAATTGTTCATTATCAGAGTTGTTTTGCTACAGTAAGTAGTAAAGATTTTATATCTTATTAAGCTTTTGAAAATGAATAAAGTAGCAACAAAACTAGATTGATTCAAACTAAGCAAATCTGACTGCAGGATAAGGTTTATATAGTGTCATACACTAATGTGTCAAACTAATGTGTTTAAAGTGTTGTAAACTAATGTGTTTAAAGTGTCGTAAAGTAATGTGTATTAAGTGTCATAAACCAATGTGTATTAAGTGTCATAAACCAATGTGTCTAAAGTGTCGTATACCAGTGTGTCTAAAGTGTCGTATACCAGTGTGTCTAAAGTGTCGTAAACCAATGTGTATTAAGTGTCATAAACCAATGTGTCTAAAGTGTCGTAAACCAATGTGTCTTAAGTGTCGTAAACCAATGTGTCTAAAGTGTCATAAACTAAAGTGTCGTAAACTAAACTGTCGTAAACTAAAGTGTCTAAAGTGTCGTAAACTGATGTCGTAAAACAATGTGTCGTAAACTAATGTCTAAAGTCTCGTAAACTAAAGTCTCGTAAACTAATGTGTCTAAAGTGTCGTAAACTAAAGTATTGTAAACTAATGTGTCTAAAGTGTCGTAAACTAAAGTATTGTAAACTAATGTGTCTAAAGTGTCGTAAACT